CACCTTTTATATCAAGCTTTTTAAGGAAGAGCTTAAAAAGCTAATTTTAAGAAATTAAAATGTATTATGTAAATATCTGTTTTGCAACTTAGACACACTAATTTATTTAGCACAGAAAGTCAGACCAGTAATGGATCATTCTCTGTCAAATCTCAAGCTGAGCTAACATTTCAATTTTCTCCCTAGATATGTATTATATCATTGCCAATTTTTTTTTTATAATTATTTTTATTTCTTAGCTATTAGTAGAGATCATTGCTAATTTATTTTTAAGTGCAGTTCACAATTGGAATTTTTTTGTTGTTGTTTTTGATATGGAGTCTCACTCTGTCACCCAGGCTGGAGTGCAGTGGCATAATCTCAGCTTACTGCAAAGTCTACTTCCTGGGTTCAAATGATCTTGTGCCTCAGCCTCCTGAGTAGCTGGGATTACAGGCACCCACCACCTTGCCCGGCTAATTTTGTTGTATTTTTGTGGTGGAGACAGTTTCACCATGTTGGCCAGGCTGGTCTGGAACTCTTGACTTCAAGTGTTCTGTCTGCCTCGGCCTCCCAAAGTGTTGGGATTACAGGCCTGAGCCACCCCTGGCTGGAATGCCACTTAATTGAGCTGCCTTTTTTTTTTTTTTTTTAAATTTTAGGCAAGCCTTGAGGAAGGGATTTGGAGAATGAACAATGGTACCTGATCAAATAATCCTTGTAGCAGGCAATCAGAGCTTCTAGGGCCACTGTACCTGGTTTTATTGATAATAATCTTTAAGGAACAAAAGGGTCAGTACTATCAGAATTATTTATTACATGTAGTGAGCATTAAGGACATATGGAAAGTAGTTTGAAGTAAAATATTGCTATAAAAGTGAGAATCGGTCAGGTGAGGTGGCTTACACCTGTAATCCCAGCACTTTGGAATGCCAAGGTGGGCGAATCACCTGAAATCAGGAATTTGAGACCAGCCTGGCCAAGATGGTGAAATCCCATCTCTACAAAAAAAGCCAGGCACTGTGGCTCACCTCTGTGTTCCCAGCACTTTGGGAGGCCGAGGCAGGAAAATCACCTAAACCCAGGAGGCAGAGGTTGCAGTGAGCCGAGATTGTGCCACTTGCTGCACTGCAGTCTGGGGGACAGAGTGAGGCTCTGTCTCAAAAAAAAAAAAAAAAAAGTAGCCAGACGTGGTGGCACACACTTGTAGTCTCAGGTACTCAGGAGGCTGAGGCAGGAGAAAAGCTTGAACCTAGCGGGCTGGCCATGCTGGTGAGCCAAGATCACGTCACTGCATTCCAGCCTCGTTGACAGAGGGAGACACTGTCTCAAAAAGAAAAAAAAAAAAAGAATGTTGCATAGGTTATCCAAATTCTTGTTTTTTTGTTTTGTTTTGTTTTGTTTTTTGAGACAGAGTTTTGTTCTTATTGCCCAGGCTGGAGTGCAATGGTGCAGTCTCAGCTCACTGAAACCTCCACCTCCCAGGTTCAAGTGATTCTCCTGCCTTGGCCTCCTGAGTAGCTGGGATTACAGGCATGTGCCACCACGCCTGGCTAATTTTGTATTTTTGGTAGAGACGGGCTTTCTCCATGTTGGTCAGTCTGGTCTCAAACTCGGAACTTCAGGTGATTCGCCAGCCTCGACCTCCCAAAGTACTGTGATTATAGGCATGAGCCATCACCCCTGGCCAGATTGCCCAAATTTTTATAATTCAGTTCTCATTTAAAAAGAGAATTGATTTCCTACTTTTTGTTTTTAAAATTGTATTAGGTTGGGCATGGTGGGTCAGGCCTGTAATTCCAACATTTTGGGAGGCCAAGGCAGGAGGATTGCTTGAGATCTTGAGGCCAAGGCCAGCCCTGGAAATAGTGAGGCCAGAAAAAATTAGCCAGGCATGGTGCTTTGCAGCTGGCTGAGGCGGGGGATCGCTTGAGCCCAGGAATTCAAGGCTGTGGTGAGATATGGTGGGACTGCTGCATTCTAGCCTGGGCAACAGAGCAAGACCCTGTCTCTGAAACAAAGTGTAAACAAGATATTTTCCACTTCTGCATTCATTTTATGTACTTGTAGCATAAATGTTACTATGCATATTAACACTTAACACCATTAGATTTCCATTACATGTATTATATTGTTTTGCTGCATTGATAGTATTTTTTCATTATTAGGAAAGTCTTTGTAATTACTGTTTTAGAAATTTTTAATTTTGGGTATTGTGGGAAATGGCTAGTTTTGTCATAGTTAATAAAAATTATTGTCAGTGAAGAACCATAGTTTAAAACTGAACTTAGCCGGCCACAGTGGCGCATGCCTGTAGTCCCAGCTACTCAGGAGGTTGAAGCTGGAGGATGGCTTAAGTCCAGGAGTTCTGGGCTGTAGTGCGCTATGCCAATCAGATGTCCACACTAAGTTTGGCATCAATATGGTGACCTCCTGGGAGCGGGGACCACCAGGTTGCCTAAGGAGGGGTAAACCGGCCCAGGTTGGAAACAGAGCAGGTCAAAACTCCTGTGCTGATCAGTAGTGGGATTGCGCCTGAATAGCCACTGCACTCCAGCCTGGGCAACATAGTGAGACCCCATCTCTTTAAAAAAAGAAAAAGTGAATTTAATACATTAGCTCATAGTTATACAATCTCATAAGCATTTTGCTACCTTAAAGTTGGCTATGTTTACTGCTAATTTTAATGGCTAAATTTTTTATTTTCCTTCTCAACGAAAATTTCAGTCGGTTCTTTCTATATATGCTAGATGAGGCTTGGAACATACAGCTCTATATCGCTTACCTGCTTTTCCAAAATTCTGAAAGCTATGAAAATGAAAAGTCATAATGTAACTGATTTGGTGACAAAGCCTAAATTAAACAGATATGAGAGTATTAGTTGTTAATTTTACATAGTAGGAAAGAGTAATTTGTTCAGTTAGAATTGCTACTTAATATCGTTTTGGTGTTTTAATATAGGTGCACCACACTTTTTATTTTTTTTTTTAAGATAGAGTCGCTCTGTCGTCCAGGCTGGAGTGCAGTGGCACGATCTTGGCTCACTGCAAACTCCACCTCCCAGGTTCAAGCAATTCTCCTACTTTAGATTTCCATTACTATAGTCCCAAGTAGCTGGGACTACAGGCGACTGCCACCATGCCCGGCTAATTTTTGTGTTTTTAGTAGAGATAGGGTTTCGCCATGTTGTTCAGGATGGTCTTGATCTCCTGACCTCATGATCCGCCAGCCTCGGCCTCCCAAAGTGCTAGGGTTATAGGCATGAGCCACCACGCCCAGCCTGCACCACACTTCTTTAAAAAATGTTCTGAGAATTAAAAATTTTGCAACATTATTGAATCCTGTGCTCTTGGAGAATGAAACCTATAGTAGATGCTCAGCAAATTCTGCATGAAGCAAATTAAAATCCAGGATATGAGTATCTTGTCTTAATTATTTAAAGAGTAGGTTTTACTATGAAGAGATCCTTAAGAAATGTTTCCCTAAACCTCCTCCCTCTTTAATGTTGTGTGTGTGGAGAAGTTAATGTATTTTTTTATGATCTTAATGTTGCAAATAATGTATAGTGGTAAACAATAACATGTATATTAATTCATTTTTGAAACATGGTGTCACTATGTTGCCCCGGCTGGAGTGTAGTGGCACAGTCTCAGCTCACTGAAGCCTTCATCTCTAGGCCTCAAGCAATCTGCCCACCTCATCCTCCCAAAGTGCTGGGATTACAGGAGTAAGCCACTGTGCCCAAGCCATAAGTAAATTTTTATGGGTTAAAAGTTTGGGCCAGGCATGGTGGCGTATGCCTATAATCTCAGCATTTTGGGAGGCCAAGGCAGATGCATTACTTGAGGTCAGGAGTTTCAGACCAGCCTGGCCAACATGGTGAAAACTGGTTTCTACAAAAATTAGCTAAGGTGTGGTGGTGCGCGCCTGGAATCCCAGTTGCTTGGGATGCTGAGGCAGGAGAATCGCTTGAACCCGGGAGGTGGAGGTTGCAGTGAGCCGAGATTGCAACTCTGCACTCCAGCCTGGGCAACAGATTAAGACTCTGTCTCTAAAGGAAGAAAGAAAGGGCTGGGTGCGGTGGGTTACGAATCGAGCACTTTGGGAGGCTGAGGCAGATGGATCATTTGAGGTCAGGAGTTTGAGACCAGCCTAGACAAAATGGTGAAACCTTGTCTCTACTAAAAATACAAAAGTTAGCTAGGTGTGGTGGTGCTCACCTGTAATCCTAGGTACTTGGGAGGCTTAGGCAGGAAAATCACTTATCTGGGAGGCAGAGGTTGCAGTGAGCCAAGATGATGCCACCGCACTCCATTGTGGGTGACATAGCAGGACTCTGGGTTTCACCTGTTTCTTTTCTTTTTGGAGACAGATTATGATGAGAGAAACTGGAATAGCAGTTTGTTACAGGCTGGGTGTGTTGGCTTATTCCTGTAATTCCAGCACTTTGGGAGACCTATGTAGGAGGATCACTTGAGCCTAATTTAAGACCAACCCAGGCAGCAATGCCAGATCCCATCTTTAAAAGTATGAATAGCACATTAAACTCAGTGGATTTTTTTTTTGGGGGGGGGTGGGGGTGGGCGGCAGACAATCTCGCTCTGTCACCCAGGCTGGAGTGCAATGGCCCGATCTCTGCTCACTGCAACCTCTGCCTCTTGGGTTCAAGCGATTCTCCTGCCTCAGCCTCCTGATAGCTGAGATTACAGGCGCCTACCACCATACCCAATTATTTTTTGTATTTTTAATTTTTGTATTTCATCATGTTGGTCAGGATGGTCTAACTCCTGACCTGAGGTGATTCACCCCTCTCGGCCTCCCAAAGGGTTGCTGGGATTACAAGTGTGAGTCACCATGCCAGAATTTTTTTTAAATGCCGACATTGGTGATGGGATGAGAGTATATTATCTGATTTTACTTAGTCCTTCCTCTCCCACATTAATTACAAATACAGTTCTCAGAATGTATTTGCGTGCTACAAAAGAGATAATTTGTTTTATATGTGCAATTTTTTTAAATAGGAATAAAAAAATACGTTGTTGGCCTCATTATCAAGACATCATCTGACCCAACTTGTGTAGAGGTAAGAGTTTATTTTGGAGACTATTAGGAGAGCATAAAATCATTTAGATATTGAGTCTTTGACTACAACCTAATTTGTCAAGACACATAATCCCACATAAGCACAATCAATCATTTGCAGTAGAGCTGTAATCATTTGTTTCTTAGGAGGATTGTCTATGCTTATATTCTTATTTATTGTACTTACCTCAGGCTCTCATTTAATCTTTTATCTTTCTTTAGAAAGAAAAGGTGTATATCGGAAAATTAAATATGATCCTTGTTCAGGTAAGCTTTGCCTTCTAAGAAGAAATATGCTTATTATTTGAATAAAATGTTTGACCTACTTAGGAAATAAAGTATATTAATATTTTACAGAAGTAATGATAGTATTCTAACAATAATAGGTACCCTACTGTCTAGTACCTGAATGTTAATTTGCTGTGGCAGGAAACATCAAATAATGTTAAAGCTGTCATTTATATGGCTGCAGTATGCATTGGACTGTTGGTTGGTTTTTTTTTTTTTTTGAGACAGAGTCTCACTCTGTTGCCCAGGCTGGAGTGCGGTGGCACCATTTTAGCTCACTGCAAACTCCGCCTCCTGGGTTCAAGCAATTCTTCTGCCTCTGCCTCCTGAGTAGCTAGAATTACAGGTGTCTGCTACCACATCTGGCTAATTTTTTGTAGCTTTAGTAGATACAGGGTTTTTACCGTGTTGGCCAGGCTGGTCTCAAACTGTTGACCTCAGGTAACCACCCAGCTTGGCCACCCAAAGTTCTGGGATTACGGGCATGAGCCACTGCTCCCCGCCAGATTGTTTTTTAATTTTCTAATATGGCTGTGCATGTTCCCTTTGCATGTTATCTGTCTCAATCCTTTGATTTTTTTCCGACCTTCTAATTGATTCCCATGCTTAGTCATTAAACTATGTTGACCAAATTCATAATTTTTATATGTATCTGTTTCCTAATGTCATAATTTTTTTTCCAGAGGACCCTTGTATGTGAGGGGGGAAAAACACATTTTCTGTTGAAATAAGGTTTAGAAACATCCAAGTCTCCAGAAACTTCAGTGTATTCAGTGATTAACTCCAGCTGTTATTATACTTTAGACTTTTCTGTTAGCCCTTCTCTGAATGGGGAGAGGGAGGAGAGAATATAAAGAAGGTTAACATGTATTATTAGAATCCGGGAAATCCCTAGTGTGTGACATCAGTAGTCCAGACTTGCATACAAATACAATGCAGTTCATGAGGCTTTTGGTAAAAGATTATTCAGGCCCTGATTGCAGTGCCTCCTTTCTTCTAAATTCATATGTCCAAACCCTGCCACATTTCAAGGCTTAAATTTCATCCAGTAGTAAGCTGTCTTAATTAGTCACTTTTTTTTTTTTTTTTTTTTTTTTTTTTTTTTTTTTTTTTTTTTTTTTTTTTTTTTTTTTTTTTTTTGAGGCAGAATCTCGCTGTGTCGCCCAGGCTGGAATGCAGTGGTGCGATCTTGGCTCACTGCATCCTCTGCCTGCTGGGTTTAAGCAATTCTCCTGCCTCAGTCTCCCAAGTAGCTGGGACTACAGGTGTGTGCCACCACACCTGGCTAATTTTTTGTATTTTTAGTAGAGAACGGGTTTCAATGTGTTAGCCAGAATGGTCTCGATCTCCTGACCTTGTGATCTGACTGCTTTGCCTTCCCAAAGTGCTGGGAATACAGGCGTGAGCCACCATGCCCGGCCACCCAGTCGATATTTATCATCTGTAGTTAGTTAAATTCTGGAGTCTCCCAGAATGATTTCTTTTTTTGAAACAGAGTCTCGCTCTGTCTCCCAAGGTGGAGTGCAGTGGCGAGGTCTCGTCTCACTGCAACCTCTGCCTTCCAGGTTCAAGCGATTCTCCTGCCTCAGCCTCTAAAGTAGCTGGGACTACAGGCCTGCGCCATCATGCCCGGCTAAGTTTTGTATTTGTTGTAGAGACAGGGTTTCACCATGTTGGCCAGGCTGTTCTTGAACTCCTGGCGTCAAGTGATCCGCCTGTTGTGGCCTCCCATGAAGTGCTGTGATTACAGGTGTGAGCGACCCCATCCGGCCTCCTAGGATAATTTCTACATATCTGTGAGGCAGATACTAATACACAGACCCATTAGACCGATTGGACCTTTCATTAGGATAATTGAGAAGGGTTTTGGGGTGATTACGATAAAAGACTTTATTGATGTTTTATTTTCTACCCAGTATGGTGAAGAGGGTGACACATTTCTTTTAATAAAGGAGGAGAAAATGAAAAGTGATTGGTCCTTACTGCTGCTTTTATCTGTTAAACAATTTCTTTGAAGGTTGTTTTATTTGCATTTGATAAAGGAAGTGCGATTAACATTTCATGTCTTATTTTAGATACTGAAACAAGAATGGCCGAAACATTGGCCAACTTTTATTAGTGATATCGTTGGAGCAAGTAGGACCAGCGAAAGTCTCTGTCAAAATAATATGGTGATTCTTAAACTCTTGAGCGAAGAAGTATTTGATTTTTCTAGTGGACAGATAACCCAAGTCAAATCTAAGCATTTAAAAGACAGGCAAGTAATAATTATGTTTTAGAATTTTAAAGTAATTTCTCAATTTCAAGCAATTTGGATGTTTATTCTAGGTATTTTAAGGAACTGTGATCAGTAATACATTCAATTGTTTATAGTGGTTTTCAATTACAAATTAAGAAATAGTCCTAGACTGGGCCTAATAACTACCTCTGGAGGTTGAAAAGTGAATTGTTCAAGATACACTTCAGGATTTGATTTGTATGATAACTAATTAATAGGTTCTAAGCAAATGATTCGTGTCCAAACATTCAAATTAGTTATTTTATGAGACAAGTCTCACTCTGTTGCCTGGGCTGGAGTGCAGTGGTTCAATGTTTAAATAGAAGATATAATTCTGCTGAGAGAGAGCAGATAAATATAGTCACATCTTTAATTACCAGATGGTTGAAATTTTAATCTTTTTTTTTTTTTTTCCCTTGAGAGATGGGGGTCTTGCTAGGTTGCCCAGGCTGGTCTCAATCTCCTGGGCTCAAGCAGTTCTCCTGCCATGGTATTCTAAAATCCTGGGATTACAGGCATGAGCTACTGTACTGGGTCTTAATCATTTTTATTAGTATTGTACATAACTTAATTTATTTCTGTGTCTTCTAAAACTGATATATATTTTTTTTAGCATGTGCAATGAATTCTCACAGATATTTCAACTGTGTCAGTTTGTAATGGTAAGTGTTTTTAATTTCATTTTTTAAAATAACAATAATAGGAAAGCAATTATTTACGAGTGTATGTTTTGTCGTAGGAAAATTCTCAAAATGCTCCACTTGTACATGCAACCTTGGAAACGTTGCTTAGATTCCTGAACTGGATTCCACTGGGATATATTTTTGAGACCAAATTAATCAGCACATTAATTTATAAGGTACAGTGAATACATTTCAGTTGTCACTGGATAGCCACATGTATTCTTTTCACATGTAAAGCTCTCATCTCTGCATTCAAAACCATATTCGACTTTGTTTCTAACATGAGGAAACCGCTCAGAAGAAATTTTTCATATTTACACCTAGTAAATTATTTGAAGTGAGTCTCAAATCTGATTCTGCCACTTGTTTGTACCATGTAATTTTATGAATTCATTTATATCAAATAATGGATTTGATTATATTGCCTTTTTTTTTTTTTTTTTTTTTTTTTTTTTTTTTTTTTTTTTT